ATGTAATTATAAATGATTAGAAATCAATAATTTTTATTAAAAAGTTAACACAACACATAAATAAGCTTATCCACATTGATGATGTGGGAGGGACACAGGCAGTAAAATCCCTCTGGACTAAGGAGAAGTAGGTAGCCCTTGGAGGTAAAGCTTGTTTACATGAATTTTTAGTAACAGATACACAATGGATAGGATATTCTTACCACTTTTTTAAAAAAATGGCTTTATTTTATAAAAATGATACAATGTTCATTATATTCAACCAGAATACAGAAAAGCACAAAGTCACTCATAATCCCACCACTTAAAAAACCATCTGTGTTAACAGTGGGTGGGCATATGTCCTGACCTCTCTATTCATGTACAGACACTACTGATGGTGAAAACTGATATACTTTTTATCTTTAAAAGTTTTAGTTAACTTTATTTGAATGCTACAGAAAAAAATTAGAAATGAAACTGAAGGTGCTGCTCAACTTCAGATTAATATTTTTTCATCATAAGGTCTACTGGTTCCTAAAAGACCTAAGTAAGCCAGTGATTCTCAAACTCTTGAGCGAGCATCCGAATTCCCTGGAGGGCTTGTTAAAACAGACTTCTGGGGACTTCCCTGGTGGCGCAGTGGTTAAGAATCCGCCTGCCAATGCAGGGGACACGGGTTCGAGCCCTGGTCCGGGAAGATCCCACATGCCGCGGAGCAGCTAAGCCCGTGCGCCACAACTGCTGAGTCTGCGCTCTAGAGCCTGTGAGCCACAACTACTGAGCCCACACGCCACAACTACTGAAGCCCGCGTGCCTGGAGCCTGTGCTCTGCAACAATAGAAGCCACCGCAATGAGAGGCCTGAGCACCACAATGAAGAGTGGCCCATGCTCACTGCAACCAGGAAAAACCCGTGCGCAACAAAAGACCAAAGACAGTCAGTCAGCCAGCCAGCCAGCCAGCCAGCCAGCCATCCATCCATCCATCCATCCATCCATCCATACATACATACATACATACATACATACATACATAATATCCGTTTTTAAAAAAACCAGACTGTGCTGGGCCCCACCCCCCGAGCTTCTGATTCAGTAGGTCAGGGGTGGGGCCAAGAATCTGCATTTCTAACAAGTTCATGGGTGATGCTGATGTTGCTGGTTGGGGAACCATACTTTGAGAACCACTGCATTAAGGTCAAGAAAAAGACTGAAAAACTTAAGGTTGGACACTACGTTTTTTTCTATTTTATATAATACAATCTTAGACACCATAACTTGACATGACACCTGCCCCTGGAAGATGAGGTGGTTAGTTCTTAGAATTCATTCCATTTTCCCCCACCCCACCTCACCCCACCCCCACCATGTCCCGACTGATTAACGTACTTCCATTTTTGTCACGATTTATAACATTTACATTCTATTCTACAACTCTGATTCCTCAGTTTTAAAACCTTAGTTGTATATTTTAACGGATTCAGAGCTAATAATCATTCCTTTTGGTGGGACTTCGTTGGGGAACCTGGTATCCTCTCTCGTCTGGGTTCCCATTAAGTGTCCAGAACTGGTGCTCACTGGACCAAAAGGTGTATCTTATCCTGTGAGCTTTGGCTTCCCCAGGCTGCTCTGCAACCCAGAGAACGCCTTGTCCTGGTGAATCTTTCCCCTTTCCCTGAAGTCCTGAGACAGAAGCAAAGCCCTCACCTTCCCAAGGATTTTCCTTGACTCTCCTCTGTATGACCTGGTCACCGCACCAGTCCCTTTGTACATACCAGGGCTCCACATCACTCCAGTTTCTTCGCTCAGTGCTACTTAAGGGATGGAGGGGGGCTGCAAGTCACACCTCACCTTGCTGCATTGGCATCTTCTCTGTGCTTCCTTGTTTGGTTGCTGCTGGCGAATCTGTAGCTGCCGGTTATTGAGTTTGCCAGATAATGGAAAAGGAGAGTTTCTGATCCAGCTTTACTTTTCCTGCTTCCTTCCACCTGAAAGTATCCCCATCCTTTTTCTAAAAACTACTGAAAAATGTAGGATTTATTGGGTAAAAGATGGTCCATATGATGCATCTACAGAAATTATTATAATGTAAATATAATAGTTTTTTCCAAAAGAAAAAAATGTATCCTCCAAAATATTTATAGTAGTTTTATCTGTGATAAGAGTATGGCTGATTTTTTTAAAAACTGAAATTTACATGGAACATAATTGTAGATTTACATGTAGCTATAAGAAATAATCCGGAGATCCCATGTATGCTTTACCCAATTTCCCCCAACCCATCAAATTTTAAAACCAGCAAAACCACCAGTGGAATAGTGCCTCTTGAGGTCTGTGAAACCAATAAGAAAGAAATGTGACAAGGGGATGCTCAACCAGG